AACTTTTAACTTTTTCTATTTAAAAATATTAACTTTTAATTTTTTCTATTTAAGGATACTAATTTTCAACATTTCAATTAAAAAATCCATTTGTCATATTAGTATTATTATCCAATTAATCATTAAATAAAAAAAAAATTGAAAGTTGATATTCTTAAGGACACTGATTCATCCACCCTCTCCCGTTACACACTTTGGTACACCCTAGTTACTCTCCGTTAACCCTGAAGGCACCTAGCCTAGCCTTTGCTGTTCACCATCCTCACCAGATCCATCTTCCTCCTCACCTCCATCCTCATCCTAATCATTTGTAGCCTCATCTTCCTCTTCAGCAGCCTGGGTTCTTTTGAACCCACCTCCAACAGATCTGCTTTCGCCACAACCGCCTTGCAACGTCATGTCCCCTGCTTCCGCTAGATTTGCTTCTGGGTCTGATGATTTTGCCAAATCTGCTTTTGGGTCTAATGCTTCTCTCTCCACTGTTTCAATTGATGATTACTCTATCTTTGCTCCTGCTCCTCCCTCCAAGCTAACAACACATCACACAACCTCCAGATACCGCCACACCACTCACCTCCTACCTCCACGCCAAGCCCTACTAGAGCCCTCCACGTCTGTTGTTCTTCTACCCTTATTAGTCCCCTTTCTCACCTCTCTTCCCTACCACCAAGCCCTAACAGATTCCCTTCTGCCCATACTAGTCCCTTTCTCGCCTCTCTCCCTCACCACCACCCCATCTAGTCCACGATGAACCTTTCACCACCCTAACCATCCCAAACCAAACACCAACCCCCCTTCCTCATCCTCCTACCCACCTTAATCGACCGCCATTCAGCCAACAGCGCCTCTACCTCCTCCACTAGTGCCTTCATGTTCTCAATTGGACAAAATTCAAATCCCCAGCAAAAGAGAGAAATTGGAAGGGAAAATGTCTCGATCTAGTGTTGATGGAGGGATAAAGAGAGAAAGAAAATGACAGGATGAAATTGCAGGTTTTGTTAGGGGCAATTGCAGGTTTTGATTGCACTAATCATAACCTCTGAGATTCTAAGAAAAGAGAGAGAGGAAGAAGAGACTACGTTGGGTAGATTTGGGAGTTAACGGAAAAATAACGAAAAGTAAGGTGTGTAATAGAGGGTGTAACGATGGGGGTACACATAGCATTATCCTATTCTTAAATAGAAAGTTAAAGTTAATATCATTAAATAGAACAAATTAAAAATTGACATCCTTATTTAGAAATTGATAAAATTATCATCTTTAAATAAAAAAAAAAATCTAAAGTTAGCATCCTTATTTATCTTTTTTCTTGAGCCAACCCAAAGATTGACAGGGGCATCTTTTTCTCCATTTTCTTCTATTATTTTATGATTAAAATATTCATAATCCCTATATTTTGTTAAACATACAAAATGCTTAAGCACAGTTTCATTAGTTGGCTAGCCATCCTCGATAGGCTAACCACAAGGGCATGCCAGAAGAAATGGACTTCTAGTATAGTTAACACATGTGTTCTATGCAATAGGGAGTCTAAAAAAAGTGAACATTTATTCTTCAAATGCAACTACTCAAGAGAATTATGAAAGACATTCAATAGCAACACTTGTATCCTTTTCGATGATTCTTGGCATAGCTTGGTAGCATGGATGGGTAAGAGAATTAGGCGTAAATCTTTACTTGTTTCCTTAGTTAAATTAGCTTGGAATGTGGCTGCTTACCATGTATGGATGGAGAGAAACAAAAGAATTCATATTAAGCTTTTCAAGAGTGAGACAACTTTGATTGTTGATATCCAATATGAAGTTAGGCAAAAGATCTTGGATTTTGCTTGCAGTGGGCCATCCTCCCTATCTCTAGTTATTGTGCAATGGGGACTTGAGAAAATTGTGAAAAGTTGATTGTTTCAACAGTTTTCTCATTGTATTTTGGAGTGTAGCAACACATTTTGCTGCTTTGATTATAATCAACAATATTATTGGATAAATAAGGTTCACATTTTATCCAAAAAAAAAAAAAAATTATAAACACTTTACTTAAATCCTAAATGGTTTCTCAACATTTGAAATACTCTTTATTCAAATTCTGAAGGAATTTTTCCTAATAAATAAAACTTGAAGGATCTTATTTTTACATTTCTTTAAAGTTTAGGATCTTTATTTTAACACTTTTAAAAGTTTAGGGGGGTAGCCCTTGCCATGTGCTAGGTCTGTCCTTAGTGTTAGGGAAAATGTGAAGGCGACACATGAAAAGTGCGCAGGCCACACAATTATTATTATTTTTTAGGTAAATAGGTAATTATTATATTTGAAAATATAAGTGTATGGATTGATTTTAATTTATTAAATAATAAATATTAATTATTTTATTATCTATCAATAAATAACTACAACCAGTAACTATTTTTAATAATCAAACTAAATAGAATTAGTATTTTAAAAGATAATATTTAAAATTTTAAGTGATTTGAACAATTTCTTGTGTGGTCATAACCTTACCTCGATTTTAGGTTTAGATTATTTTAGATTCAGATTATTTTAGATTCATTATTTAAGGTTTAGGGTTGAATGTACATTTCAAGATTTAAAAGTTCAATAATTCAAAAAATTAAAATTTAAAGGACTTAAAAATAAAAAAAATTATTGAGTCTAGAAAGTAAAAAAAAACTGTAGGCACCATCGCCATGTGGACCGATCGACTCCTATATATAGCATTACTCATTTCTATGTAGTCCATTATATAGCATGCACAAGTAGTTATAAAAATAAAAAATAGTTTATATATCATCCATAATTGGTTAAATGAATTATACGGTAATTAGTTATGTGTTTTTTTTTTCTAAATAGCATAACTAGTTATGTTTTTTTTTTTTTTCTTAATAACGTAATTAGTTATGTTTCGAGATACAATTAATTATATAATTTGGAAACTTTTTCTTCCATATTTTGTTTATTACGTAACAATACGTGACACGCATAATTAATTATATCATATATAACTGATTATATACTCTTATTTTAAATTCTTTATGTTTGAATTAAGCTTGCTTTTTGACTTTCCTTAATTGTTCTTCTAAAAAACATGCAAACCAAATATAGTCTAAAATATAACACTTTTACTTTTATCCTGAGTTTTTAAAATTATCTTCACCACCATTTCATCCTTTAATGGGTGAAAGAGTGAAAAAAAAAAGTTTATAGTATTTAATATGAAATTAACTCTTCGTATCAATAATGTCACCCACAAAAACCACTATTATCGTTGTTTGTTTACTGGAAGTCTGGAATCCTTCGTTTTAGGTATAAAAGCGCCCTACATCCATGACTTCTCGGAGTTCCGAAGATTATTTTATTTTATTTTATTGGGTAAAAAATTAAAAAAATTAAAAAATTCACTCTATCTACAAAAGGCAATCTATTCTTAAGCTTACGTACTTTCCCCATTTAGCGGATGAATCCCTAAACAAGAAATAGCAAATAAACCCTCGAATCTACGCAGTCATTGCAAATTAACCCTTTGTTAATTGGTACCACTGGTTTCTATTAATTTTAGTTGAAGTGGCAATTCAAATAAACATTTTCGTTAGAGCATGTTGACTTGAAGGGAAATGAAGGGGAGAAATGATTTTTTTAATTAATTAAATTATAACATTGACAAATAATGTAATTTGATTTGTAGAAAAATTCATTTTTCTCCTCTTTTTCTTTTTTTTCAAACAAAACATATTAACCGTACACTTAATAAACATTAAAAGAAACAACAAAATATCAATTGGTCCTTAAATTAGTCTAATTTAAAATAAAACTAATTCTTGAACTATAATAATTTTTTTATCATTTGCGATTGGACAGATTAATGTATTTTCATAATTTCTATCTCTATCTCTAGTCCCTTGCACCAGCCTTTGAACTCCAAACATTCAACTCAAGGAATTGAAGTCTTAACCAATAGAGCCACTATTGGAGAACCTAGCATTCTTTTAGGTATTAAGTTAGATGCATTAGTAAGTTGTTTGGTTTAAAGAGAAGGGAATAGAAAGATGAGTTTAGTTTTCACTTATTTTATATTAATTTATTTTTGTATTTTAGTCGAATCCAACAAGCAAATGGCCTTTTCATTTTAGTCCTATTTCTTCAGTTTCCCTCGCCTCATATACAAGTAATGAAAATGGTTTTTCAAACTTCCTCGTTAGTTGAAATTAAAATTCATAGAAACCAAAGTGACAGTTAACAGAGGAATGAAGGATTAATTTGCTGCAATAGGGTGGACTCAGAAGCTTATTAGCTACTTTTTCGGGGCTCATCAGCTAAATATGATAAGTTTGAGGGCTTAATAATTGATTTTGCCTATATAAACAAAAGGTAAAAACCAAAAATAACCATCTCCAGATCAGATATTTTTGATTTTATCAAATCACAGCAACAAACTCCCCCACCGCTAACAAACACCAAACCCTAACCCAAAAACCAAACGTTCCCTTTTCCCTCCCACTTTCTCCTTCTCCACTGTCCGATCCACTTCAACCACTCGTCAAACTGCCAGCTCGCAGCTCACGCGCCGCTGAGTTGATGCTACGCGCCACCAAATCATTATGGTTGTGAATGGGAGACCAATGAAGAGGATGAAGACTAGAGTAACAGCCGATCTCTACGACTTCCTCACATTTCCCGCCTCAGCTCCTGGATCTGGCTCGCCGTTGCCGTTCCGTGCCAACATCAAGGCTTTTCTCGCGAGGCACGCGCTCGTGCCCCCTCCGTCGTCGCTCTTCCCTCATCTGATGACGTGGCAGATTCTGTTCAGAGTCGGTGACGTGGCGACGACGGAGGCCTCCCCTGATTCCTTCTCCGCCACCGTCTGCCTCGACGTGGTGGAGGAGGACGTGGCGAGATCTAGATCCGTCTACTGCGATCAGTGCCGAGTCGTTGGTAAGTTGACTCGGAACGAGTTATTAACCCATTTCTTTCTCACATACGTTAACCTCTCTTCCGCATCTCTATGCAACATATTCGGTTTCCGGTTTCTCGCCGGTTGCCGGTTGTTTATTTTTTTCCACTGGCGGGAAAACTCGGCAATATTTATGGAAAACAAATAGCATATATTAAAGAAATTTCGACATAGACAACGTGATAATCTCGTGAGATTTCTTTGACTATGTTAATCTCGTGTGATTTTTTTTTTTTTCATCATGATTATCTCGTGAGATTAAACCGATGATGGAAGCTAGAGTTTCTTGGAAACTTCCTTGGTGGCTGGGGCCCGTTATGCCGCTGATATTAACACCAAATGAGGGAAAAAATTATTTATTTTAGAAAAAAATTTATTTATTTATCTTTGTCTTTTATTGGGGTTGTGGGGGCCTTTAGGAAAGGACGGTGGAGAGACAAGTGGCAGGTCTGCAGCCTGCGTGGGTCATGGTTTTCGACGATTATGGTGGTGCCGTACTGTTAGTTGTTGCTTGGACAGTTGTAATTATCTTGTTTTTGCTCTGATTTTGTGTGATGGCATAGAATAGTGACACCTGGGGGTTCGTAATTTATATTTTTGAATAATATAAAAAATACCCAAAAAGAAGTATGAAGAATACCGAAAAAGAAAAAGAAAAAACCTTCTTTTTGCATCCGTCTCTATTAGTTTGTTATTTATTTATTATTATATATATATTTTGGTCATGGGCATTTTGACCTTTGAATCTGATTTTATTAGAAATAAGGTGATTACTATTGTGAGAATTTTTTAGCGTGGTTGTATGATGTGTAGGTTGGAGTGGCAATCCAGTTTGCTCGAAACGATACCATTTTATCATTAAAGCTGATGGTAATTCCATTGGTGGGTGTCACAAACCATGCGCTCGATGTGGAGATATGCAGCACTTGTCGGATTTGAGGTGAAGTCTTCTTGTTCACTAACAAAGAATTTTGTTTCTTTAAGTTAAATTTAGGTATTGGGTTTGGTCTGTTTACCTGCACTATGCGCATAATACGTCTCTGATATGACGTGTATAACCTTTGTGGGATCTTGTGGCCTTACCCGTCTTGTGTTCTTGTTCTGCATTTTTGTTTTCAGGTGCAAGACGTGCTACCATGTGACAACTGCAGATGATGTGGAGGACTGGGTATATCACCAGTTGGAGGACACCACTCATCTTTTACATGGGGTTGTCCATTCAAACGGTTATGGTCACCTTCTCAGGGTCAATGGGAGAGAAGGAGGTTCAAGGTTCCTTTCTGGATGTCATATCATGGACTTTTGGGATCGGCTGTGTAAAGCTCTTAATGTCAGGTTAGGAGCTTTGCGTTGGAGTCACACCATATTATTTATTTCCTGAAAAAATTGATCTTATAATTATTTGACTTGAAGTTTAATGTTACTCAAAAATATATCTTCTATTGTCCTAGTCCGAGTTGTCTTTGGTGCTGTTTTTCATTTTCTGATAGTGTCTATGACTCTATAGGTGACAGGGCTTTGTAGGATATAGTTCTAGTTTCCTTACATAGACACAAATGCGAATTCACAAATAAGCAAGCAAAGCTACAATCCTAATCACGTGTGAGATGCAATATCTGTTAAATTGATAATTAAATTTAATGAAATTATTATGTTTTTTACTTTGACCTTGTGCATGGCAATGAATATCTTGAAAGTTCTTGATTGATTACATAACTTAAAACTGCTTCTTTTGCATGCATCTTGTGCAGTCAAGGGTTTGGAATTTTTTTTTTGTTAACTTAAAAGATAAAATCATTTAAATTAAACTAAATGTATTCTTTAGTATGTTGTTTGATGGTGTTCATCTATATCATAGCTGGATGGTACTAATGACAATTTTTCAATAGTCAGAGCAACATGTTAAAATACTGCCATTTTTTTTTTCTTTTAAATTGTCTCTTCTATGCATGAACAGGAAGATTAGCATAATGGATGTGTCAAAAAAGTATGGATTGGAGTACCGGTTGCTCCATGCCATCACAAAGGGTCATCCATGGTATGGTGGTTGGGGTTATGATTTTGGTGCTGGCAGCTTCGCCCTCACTCTGGATGCCTATAAATTAGCTGTTGACACCCTCTCCAGCCTTTCCTTGTCTGACATTCTATGTGAAGGATGGAGACCTCACACTCGCCTGCAGGATTTAATCTCATTTTACCAGTCTTTATCAGAGAATAAGCTTGCTACCATGAGGGACCTCTTTTGTTTTTTGATGAAGTTGATCCATGACGCTCACAAGTCTCGCCCTTTGACAGATAATGTCTCATATAAGAAGCCTCGTGTAAGTGCCTCTGGGGATGTCAACTCTTGGACCAGTGCTGATGTTGAACGGGTTGAAGAAGCAATGTTTAGAGTGCTTAGGGCAGTGTCTGAATCCAACTGGGTAAATTCCCGTTCTCTTAGGGGAGCTGTCTGTAAAGGTGGTCCTCCAGAGCTTCTTGATCATTGCCTCCAGGAACTTGCTGGAAAGCTGTCAGCAGAAGGAATGGTTGTTAATGCAAGATGCCATCCTGTTTCAGGTGCTGTTCAGTACAGGTCAGTGATTTGCTTATCTTAAAATTGTGCTTTTTGTTAGTATGGCACGTATACATGAATATATGAGGTGATGGTGGTTATGGTATCAAATTCTGTCCTATTGTATAACATCTTATTTTATTCTACAAATACAGTCCATCTTTATCAAGCACTTTGTAAGCTGCAATAATGTTGGCTGTGATACTGAATTTACACAGAATAAAAGTACTTGAATAAATTATTCCTACTTGAGTAAGAAAAATAAAAATGATCATGATCCTATTTTATTTTCTTTATATTTATGACACATTACCATAGAGATAGGTGGGAGCTGTTTGAATTTAAACAATGATTTTTACTGGTATGGCAGATTTATTTTATTTGTGTCAGAATTTTCACTTTGCAAACATTATCCCTCTTTTTTGTTAAGCCTTGGGGTGATTTCAGACCTTGACCTTTTTTCTGTTCATATGATTAGAGAAATATTTTGGCCTCCTTATGGCTATGGTCTAATTTTATATTTGACCTGTTGCAGACTTGAACCTCAAAATGTTAGTGTAATGGCTAGTTGTGATGACACTGCTGTTGCTAATGCTAAGTGTCCATCTGAGGAAGTTCTGAAGTGGGACCTTAAATTCCTGTATGAATCCTTGCTTCATCCTCAAACCATGCTGAGTTATGGATCTGATGGGACAAGAGATGCTGCTGAAAGCTCAGCTGCAAAACTCCTTGACTGTAAGCAATTTGTAAAAGATTACAAGCCTGAAAAGGTGTCAAGTGGGAGCCCATATCCTGCTTGGAGTGTCTTATGCCAGCTGGAACTTGTGGATCAATCTGAAGAAAATGTCCCAGATCCTCCAGCAGAACTACTTGTCTTACCGTTGGAGGCTACTGTTTCTGAGGTCAAGCTTGAAGTGGCTAAGGCTTTTCAAGATTTGTATTTGGCATTCAGAAAAATTCAAGTTGAAGAGCTGGTTGGTTATGGTGGTGTTGATGATTCCACCCGGGCCAAGCTCTTGTTGGAGTCTACCGGAATGGTGCGATTTCGTGGGAGATGCCTCGGGAAAAATGTGAATAGCAAGTTTAGAATGGAAAGAGGGATTGAGAGGTGGACTGTGGACTGCAGTTGTGGAGCCAAGGATGATGATGGAGAGAGGATGCTGGCTTGCGATGTTTGTGGTGTGTGGCAGCATACCAGGTGTTCTGGCATTCATGACTCAGATGCAGTGCCAGCAAAGTTTGTTTGCCACAGATGCAGAGTCCCTACTCAGATGACTCAATCTGGCGGACAATGCAAGGATGAGACTGTTCCTCCTGTGAGTGGTAACAATGGCTTTGGAAAGAGTTTGGCAACTCCCCTATGATGTTCGATGAAATCTGGGGTGTTTCAACATTTTTGGGTCTATTTGGTATTCTTAGGGGAGGTTTCCTCTTGGCCTAAATGACTGTGTATAAGGAAACAAGCCTTGTGCATCTGGGCAGTTGTTTCTCTCTTTCCAATTCCCGTTTTGTTTTCCATTGTACATAGTTTTTAACTACTAAGTCTAATAATCCTTTACCTCAGAAAGGTGAAACTGAGGCCAATGAAGCCTTGGCTCGATAAGGTAGAGGTCTTGGATTGGCTAGGCAGCAGATTGGAAACACAGTTTTTTTCTTTTCCTTTATAATTTTGATTGGATTTTATGTTCTTGTATGTTTCTGAGTGTATCTCAGATAATCAATCAAAAAGCCTAGAGAAAAATGAAATAAATTTAAAGCGTAGTTTTGTTGCTGCTGGTTTTGTGAACTTTTGTTGATGCAATTGCCCCTCAAAACGGAGTTTACGCTTGTGATTTAGAAAGAATGGCCATGACTTGTGAAGAAATGAAAAGTGATGACGAAAGGAAAAAGAAATGCTATATTATTGAAATTAAAATACTGATGATGGTGAGAGGAAACTTTCGACTTTACCCAGAATTTTAGAGACCAGGTACTATTGGTCATTAACTTGAGTGTCCCATTTGTTAACGGGAAATGATGTGTAGTATAATTTTAATTTATAATTTTTACATGTTAATAAATAAATAAATATATATAATATAATAAATTTTAATAGAGTAAAAAAATTAATTATTAAATAATATTTAAAATTATATAAAAAAGTTATCTTTTCATTATTTTTTAGAGGTTAATTAATGGGAGTGGGTAAATTAATTATTGTGAAAGTCGATTAACTTCGGCATGAGCTGTACATTTGATGTTAAAGGAAGTCTTCTTTGTTTTTTATTTTTGTATGGGTTCTTTTTTAGTATTAACTTTTTATTATCTGATAAACATATTGGGTTCCAACTAATTTAGAATCGAGTTGCGTTGGATCATATTAAGAGAAACTCTCTAAAAGCCTATTTTTTTATTCGCAGGACTCGAATTCAAAACCTTATTTAAGAAGAACCAAACTCCTTTCACAACAAGTCGTTGGTTTTATTTTTGTATGGGTTTTTTTAAGGGAAAGTTGATTTAACAAAGCCCTGTAGTAGTGCAAGTGCTAGAAGATATCCAAGGAAAGCTAGCCAGAAATGCCTGCTACAAAATCTGAGAATATTGAAGCAAAACCAGATGCTCAGCACTATACCAAAAAAGTGTGGGGACATGTCAATCTACAAAGGAACCATAAACACAAAACGTGTTCAGACCACTATTAATATATTCATGTAGAATACACTTTCTCTAAGGACAGGTATGCACAACAAGGCGCACAAGCCCAAAAAAAAACGCGTAGAGAGCACTAATGTGTGACTATAATTTGACGCAAAATAAGAAACCTTTTCCTTTAGGAAATGGTACCACTATACTCACCCCACTTACTTAGCAAAGGACAGCCTATGTGTAGTAAGTTTGATAATGGAGACCAGCTACATGCCATTGCCATGCATACTTGCACTTACAGGCAGCCTTGACGCCTTCCCACTTACACTATATATATTATCCCATTTGAGTCTTTGACTCCAATCTTCAATGTTATACAAGCACATGTGTAGTTTACTTTAGAAAGGTGATTTGACTAATATCATAAAACTTATCAATCATGAAATTATGTGGGAAAGAATAGTGTTCTCGATCTGCTAATGTTTTGTATTGACCTACTTTGGATTTTGATTCTATATTTTAGTTGGTGGAATGGGGCAAGAACACCAAAACTAAGAGTAATTGTGATCTATAAGTAAGGGTTAATTAGTTTTTCCAAAACTAGAGTTCTGAGGATAAAATTATGAGATCTACAAGTTAAAATGAAAAACCTCTCATAATAACATACAAAACAAATCATAACAACACTAAACAAATTCATATATTTAATGCATGTTATCTTTATTAATTAATGTTATATTGTTATGCTAATAGCCAAGTATGCCAAAGAACTTTTGATACATATGCATAAGGATAAGAGGTAAAAATATGAAATCATAACACCAAATGTAGTGCTAGCTAGAAAGTCAATGATTGCGACTACCATGTGTATTAAGTGGCTTAAGAAAAGATAAGATGTTGAAAGATATAATTTCATTCTTTAAATTTGAATTATATAAGTTGAGAGACCTTTTGACAATACTTTTTTGGTTAATTACTTTTTTTGGTTCCTTTACTATTGAAAAAAAAACCCCTTTTTGGTCCTTATACAGAAAAATCTCTTTTTTAGTTCCTAAAGTTTAAAATTCGACTCCTTTTTTGTCCCTCTATTAAATTTTTGCTAATCTGTCACGTTAATTAATGGAATTACTTGATTAGTTTTTATATAAATGATATTATGAATGATGTGAAAATTATGTAGATAAAATTATAGATACACGTAAACATTTTATCTAAATATTTTAGGCCGCATATACAAATTAAAAATTTTACTTCTTAATTCATGAATTAAATGAATTTAAACAAAATTAACTTTAATTTCTTCATCTTCTTCTTTCTCCTCATCCTTACTCTCCTCCTCACCCTTGACATCCTCTTTGCCATCCTTTTCATCATCAGTTGTTGGGTTCCTCTTCATCATCATTAACTTGGTTCCTCTTGGAACCCAGCAACTGGGTTTCGAGAGTAACCTAGCAACTGGATTCTTTGAGGAACCCACGTACTGGGTTTGAGGAACCCACGTACTGGGTTTGAGGAACCCACGTACTGGGTTTGAGGAACCCACGTACTGGGTTTGAGGAACCCAGATTTGGATTCTTCAAAATCCAATTTATGAGTTTTGAGTTCATTACGAAACCCAGATCATGTTTGATATTTGAGTTTGAAATTGCAGATGATAAGTTCATGTTGTTGTGTTCATGTTGCTATGAATTTCATAACTTAGTTCATTTGAAAGTAGGAAAAGAGTAAAAAGAAGGATCTGTTTTGCAGAGGACAAGTTAGGATTTATAGTTGATAAATCACTTTAATTAGTAATTAATTTTTATTTTTATCAATGAAAATATTCCTATGAATTCTCAATTATATCTTGATCAATTTCACATGTAAAGGGTTGATTATGAACGAAAAACAAGAATTTCGAAAGAAGAAAGATGATTAGGGTTTTTTGCATTTCAGAATGTGAGTTCCATCGATTAGAGTTTTTCTTTTTTCACAGGGAAAGTGACATGAAAGGGTGTTATTAAGTTCACGTAAGCATCTTTACATAATGGAATATCCATGTCAAATGTTCCTATTAAGATAACGTGTCATGTGAGCAAAATTTAATGGAGGGATCAAAAAAGAGTTGGATTTTAAACTTTAAAGACTAAAAATGAGATTTTTTCAATACAAGAACCAAAAAAGAGCTTTTTTCAATAGTATAGGGATCCAAAAGGATATTTAACCTACTTTTTTAAAAGCTTCGGTGAGGCATAGCAAAGTCTAATAATAAGATATAACAAGAAGTAGATTTTAAAGTTTTTTTTTTTTTTTTAAATTATACAATGAAAGATAATTTTCTTTTCTCTCATAATCTATTTAGTCACGTGTCATACAATTTTGTTATTTTTATTAAAAATTACTTAGTTATATGTCATGCAATTTGAATTTAAATTTTTTTTTATTTTTATTAAAAATAGATTATTATCAAAGTATTTAATTTAATAACAAATAAATTTTAGAGTTAATCTCTCAATAACATATATGATGATTTAGTTTTTTACGGGTACATAGGACCTATTAATTTTAAACATCTTTAGTACCATAAAATAATAATCTTTGCTTTCTTGTCATTAACTAAACTTATATAAGTGGTTCCCAGCTAAAGGCTCTCAACTGCTGGATATTCTAGACAAAATGCTCAAAAGTCAAAATATAGAAAACCACAGTTAGAAAATGCATATTTATGCCAAGCTTAAAATATTAATCTAGCTTCCTCTTCACCTGGAGATTCAACCCTATGCTTTGGCCAACATTGATTAATTCAACATTCCCAAATTAATTGTGTGCAAACATTACTTGTCGCTGGACTCTAATCACATGCAATTAAGCAAAGATTAACGTATAGACTAATTATTATAAATTATAGATTGGGTGGAAGATATGATAAGACCACTACCTGAAATTTTTTTATATGTATTAATTCACTCAAAAAACCTTTTCCCCCAACCATTTGCATTTATATATGCATTGCCTTCTCCTTTTCTTCCTTCATAACCCATCAAGCTTCAAATTTGCTTCTTCACTATGGTTTCGAAGAAGTCTAGATCTCCTTTCAGCTTTTCAAAAATGGTTGCTGCTAAATTTGTGACGATTTTTATCTTAATGGAGCTGATCATGAGAGGTTTTCGGTTCGGAGCGGTAGATGGTTTGAGCATGGATTACTACATAATGACATGCCCTTTAGCTGACATAATTGTCAAAAATACTGTTAACAGTGCTTTACAGAATGATCCTACCCTGGCAGCTGCTCTCGTTCGGATGCATTTCCATGACTGCTTCATTGAGGTACTGTTACTTAAGACTGTTTTTCTCTTTCATTTTCTCTTCTTCCTTGATCTGGGTAATTAACTCAGATTTTTTTGGTTTGGGTTGTATAGGGTTGTGATGGGTCGATTCTCATTGATTCTACCAAGGATAACACAGCAGAAAAGGATTCTCCAGGAAACTTGAGCTTGCGTGGGTATGAAATCATTGATGATGCCAAGGAGCAGCTTGAACAACAATGTCCCGGTGTTGTTTCATGTGCGGATATTGTTGCAATGGCTTCTAGAGACGCCGTTTTTTGGGTAAATTTACTACCTATCAATCTTCACATTAATCTCCATATCAATTTATGCGCATATATACCTTTGTTCAATAGTTTAATCTTTTAGATTGAGATGTTCTTGAAATAATTTTAGCAACACTTCAACTCAATTCTTCTTCTTCTTCCTTTTTTCTTACAAGTACTTAAATGTATTCTTTTGTTTACATCTGAACTGTAAAAGAAACCATTGATTGGAGATGACTTCACATTCGAGGGTTCTATCCCCACCAAAGCACAACATTTTTCTTATTTACAAATAATAAAAAATTTGTAATGGGCATTATATAATGTGATGTTGGCAGTCTGGGGGTCCAGTGTATGACATCCCAAAAGGTAGAAAGGATGGAAGGAGGTCCAGAATAGAAGACACAATCAACCTGCCTTTCCCCACCTTCAATGCCTCAGAATTGATTAGGGCTTTTGGGCAGCGTGGCTTCACTGCACAAGAAATGGTTGCTTTATCTGGTAAGCTATTTCAACTCATGTCCTAAAATTATATGCGCTGGTGACAGTCTGGTGTTTCAGTAGTTGAATGGTTTACCTTTCGTTGTCAGCTCAGGATATGAATTTTAGTCTTTTGCTTGTAAGAATTATATTACTAACCAATTACTCAAAGTTTTCCTCATTTTCTTCTTTTGTTTTAACTATATGTCACTTTCAATTCGTAATATGAAAACTTATTTGTCCAAACTTCTATTAATTAATTTAGCCATTGAGGAGCAATTGACAACAAATAGTAAAATATTCGATGGTTGTTAGTTATTATCTACAATTTAATACTTACATTCTCATTTGATTAGAGAAAAACAACTATTAGTTGTACACTAACAACTAAATCCAAAAAAATCCACATAGAATGTTATATGTACAGGTAAAAATATTGTTAGTTCGAGTAAGAAAAAATGAAAGTTAGTTGTTTGACAATGTAAGAAGTCGAATCTCAAATTAAGATTTTAAAATTAATGTATACCAACTCCATTAAATTTTTATCGGTAAAGTTTATTGTTTATGTCAATTAACAAATTAAAATGCTGGTGATTTTTTAGTCTAAAATTCATTATTTTTTGTATTTATGGTTCAAATATCATCAAAAATAACTTTTGTACGCATCAAGACTAAATTTACTTTAAAATTGAAGTTTATTTCCTTTTGGTTAAATTTTTAGGGGCACATACACTAGGAGTGGCACGGTGCTCATCCTTCAAAGGCAGATTGGGAAACGGGGATCCAACACTGGACTCAGACTTTGCCAAGACCCTGTCCAAAACCTGCAGTGCTGGTGATAATGCCGAGCAGCCCTTCGACGCCACCCGAAACACCTTCGACAACTTATATTACTACACATTGCTGACGAAAAATGGACTTCTTTTCTCCGACCAAACACTCTACGGAAGCCCCAGGACAAGATCCATTGTCAATGCTTATGCGATGAACCAGGCAATGTTCTTCTTTGATTTCCAACAGGCCATGGTCAAGATGGGCATGCTTAATGTCAAAGAAGGATCAAAAGGTGAAGTACGAGGAAATTGCCGGAAAATCAATTGAATTTATCGGGAGAAGAAAAGAACCTTTTGTATTATATGCTCGGATTTATTATGTCATTATGTGTCATATATTTCCATGTGTTAAAAGAGAAAAAAAAAAAATAATAATTAAGCGTGTGTTAGGTCATTGTAGGTTTGGAAGTGCTGTGTGACACAGCTAGTGTCCACCTCGTTTTGTACCTATTTTGACTTTTCAAGTATGGTTAATTATATAATTGATTACATGTTTATTTCGTGAAAAATATGTTATTTTGTAATTTAAATTATATTAAATAGTAAAATAAATAATTTTAATTATATAAGTGAATATAATTTAAATTATAAACTACTTTTGTATATACAAATAAATCTAGACTTATAATTTTATATGTGTTTACGCTTGTAAAGTTTATCTTTTATTTGGTTGTTGGCGCGTGAGTAAAAACCTCTTTCCTCTGGTTCATAATGGATAAAAAAATGTAATTAGTTATTTATATACTAGCATAGGTAAGCTACCTTAAGGATTACATTCACAACTAAAACTTCGTTTTCAAAACAGTACTATAGTTTTTTATGTTGACGTCTTTTTATTATTTTAAAAACATGAAAATAATAATTAAAATAAATATTAAATATATTAAATATATTTTAAAAATATTAAAAGACTAAAAACTCAAAAAGTCAACACTTTTTTTTTTTAATGCACAAAAATCATTACTTTTAAATTAAGCTTACTGTTGTTTTACGGTTAGTCTTCGAGGTGCACAGCTTTACCGAAATAAAAAGGAAAATTATATTAGTGGTTGGGCCTAAAATTTCAGGTCTAGAACTTTTTTTTTTTTTTTAATAAAGGTGATGATTAAGAAATTAATTAAAATTAATTGTTAGTAACTAGAAATTTGATTCTCAGATCAAATAAATATTTCACCCATCAAATGAGGCACGTGATTATTGGACCACTTTGATGAAATTTAAGACGATAATAAAACTCAAAACTCTGATCATATCACTTAAACACTTAAAATTTGAGGTCGAATCATTAAACGTAAAGAGTCCGGTTATTCAAGTCTATAACTTGGAATTTCACGACGAGTAGAAGCGAACTCCGGATTCAGGAAGACTGACTTAACGGTAACGGTAAGTGTCTTTGGAATTTGGATAGACCAGTTATATAAGATATATTTTATATTTAATTTGAAAGTTTTAGATATAAATTTTTCAATTTGATATTTACTTAAATACTTAAAAATTTATATTTGATATTTAATAGGTATTAAGTAATTTATAAGTATATACTTATATACTTGTTAAATGATATTTTATTTTAAATTTTTTTAAAATTAAAATTTAATAAAATATTATTTACTTTTAATCTAAACTTAAATAAAATTAATAAAATTTTAATAAAATATTATTAATTATAATATAAACTTAAGTATAATAAAAAATAACAATAGAGGATTAAACTTTGGTTTTATATTTAAAACTCAAATCCTTTAATGAAGATGTCTAGGTTTTTGGGCTCATAATCCCCTTAATCTTCTATTTTGGTTTGTTAGAAAGAAATATTAGCAGATGATATTATATATATTTTAATATCTTGATGTTTATGCTTTTAATTTATAATTTTTATCATATTAAATTTAAAGTTTGAAATTAAAAAACCATCTATATAATAAACAAATATTATGACTCGAAAATCACAACAGAAAAGTAAAAGAAAGTTAAAAAAAATTAAAAATTTAAAGTTATAAGTACTTATTATTGTCTAAGAGTGCAAGAAAGAGAAAAAGTTATTAATTATGATATGTGTTTAGTTTAAGATTTATTATTTATAAGTTACTTGTGTAATTTCTTTTATTTTTATTTTTGTACTTATTATTTTTATTTTTA